TCTATGTACAACATCAAAAACAAACAAACAAAGTAAATCATACCCTGAATTAAAAGGGTGCAGGATGAAGGAAAAAACTCTTATCATATGTGTCCCTTATTTTCGAAAATCAACTTCAACAAACAAACTCAATCAAAGGAAAAAAAAATTGTATAGGTCCTCTGGACGGGTTCTTCTTTAATGAAACGTTTCGTCTCTCTTCCAAGAGACTTCTTCAGTCTGAGAGTTTCAGGCAAAATTCAGGCTTTTATGTCCTGCCTCCAAGTGACTGATACTCACATCACATGACCATCGTTCACAGGTGACAGGTCTTTTAGGACAAGTTTCATGTTATTATTTCTTCCCTATAAAATGGGTTTAATATTTATTGAATTTACATGGTCTCTGTGATGGTCCTCATGTTTTGGGTTGTTTGTGGAGCCAGACAGTTTTTCTGTGTCAAAAAGTCAAATATTGAGTTATAGAGAAAAAATATTTGATTTTGTGACTGATTCTGTCACAAATCTGTCAATATTTGCTCTGAGCAACAAACTAAAAGTTGTGTAGAAAACAATGAACATTAAAAACAAACCAGAAGATTCATGATAAATAGACATAGATATTATGTTCTAAAAGTCCTGTTCACAAGTTAAATATTAAAAAATAGATAAAAATTGTGTTAATTAGAATAAAACTTAAAGTTGGCTTGCATAAAAATATGCTAAATAAAATGTAATCAATGGAGAATTTTCTTGTTTTATTTAGATTAATTTCAGGAAAAAAATATTAAATTATGTGTAAGCATTGTTTTTTTTAAATGAATATAATATGAATGCTGAGTCGGCTTTAATCAGAAATCAGTTCATCATCGATCGGTCTGAGCTCGATTAGCTTAGCTTGTTTCAGGTTAACCTCGCGAGCTCTGAGAAATAGATCAAACCAAAAACATCGATTCTGATTTTTATAATTTGTTAAAAACTTCATCAAATGGACCGTCTGGCATCTTTTTCAAGTAAGCATCAACAGTGCGACACATAGATAAATATGCGTGCTGCAGCTTTACATAGTCCACCGTGTTTATAATCTTGATAATCCGGTTTGTTGATCGTGTTAGCTCTGCACGCTAACCTAGCTAATTCGGCTAAGTTAGCGGATGTTACAGTTTATATGCTGGATATTTTTAGAGCTAAACTCTGGGTTTATAAACCAGTTATTGAGTTGAAATCTGTGTTTTCAGGTGACCCATTTGATAAACCTCCATGCAGAGGCTGCTCCTCCTATCTGACCGAGCCATACATCAAGTGTGCAGAATGTGGACCTTCAGCTGTTTTGCTGTGTTTGCAGGTCAGTAAGCAGCAAATATAAAAAATCATCTTAATATTTTAGCTCTGTTAGACTCCAGCTCTCTGTCTGACTACTTACACTTGGATACAAGCAAAAATATTTTGTGTTAAAGTAGAAATTAATAGTTAATTACTAAATTTGTACACCTATATCCCTTTTAAGAGGATTAATATAAACATTAGCCACAATCAGCTTCAGGATTTTTTTTATGACAGCCTTTTTGATGTTTTGGAAAATAAATTAGTTGGAATAAAATGTTGTATAAATCAGGAACAAATAAAAAAATGTATTTTTTGTTGCATCTAAACAAGTTAAAGAATCATTCCAGCATATATCCTACTAAAATGTTTAAAGAGACACAAAATTGACTCCACCCTTTAAATTGCATGAATCAAACCCAAGGGATTCACGATTAGTTGTAACCAGAGATTTTATTTGATAAACACTTATTTTAACTGTAAAATAAAGATTGTAAAAATATTGTAGGCTTCTTAGTTTTGAAATTTTTTTAAATATATTTGAACATGGACGGAGCCATTTTATTTACACACAAAGCATTCTGGGTAAATAATGACGTGGGTACATCCTCGGTGTGAGCAAGCTATATCCACCCTGAAGGTTAATCTTGGACAACATCTGACGATCGACTCTTTTAAATGAAACCAGAGAGCGTTGACAGAGAGGAGAAGGTAGAAATGACTCAACCTGTAACTGAAAATATGGATGGAGGACAACAGAGCTGCTTCATGGAAGAAGAACCTCAGCTTAGCCTGTTAGCCTTTGCATTAGTGCCGACACTATATTGCCTTATATGTATTATTGGCTCAGCGCTAGCGCGACAAACCAACAAGCTAAACTGAGGTCCTCCATCCACATGACAGAGAGGGGAACACAAAAATGACAGCCTGCAGCTGAAAATGTGGATGGAGGACCTCAGTGACGAGAGGAGAATGTGTAGCGCTGAGCTAATACGTATAAATGGTGATAGCGTCGGGGCTAACGCTAAAGCTAACAGGCTAAGCTGAGGTTCTTCCTTGAAGCAGCTCTGTTGTCCTCCATCTATTTGATATTGTCCAAGATTAACCTTCAGGGTGGATATAGTATGCTAGCAGCCTCGCACGATGACCTATCCACATCATCATTTACCCAGAATGCTTTGTGTGTAAATAAAATGGCCCCGTCCGTGTAATACATTTTTAAACTTTTAGCTTAAAAATTATAAAAACTGAACATCCTACAGTATTTTTACAGTCTTTATTTTACAGTTAAAATATATGTTTATCAAATAAAGTCTAATGTTACAACTAATCCTGGATCCCTTTAACATTTTATTTGGCAACAAAGGTACTTTCAGAAAATTAAGTTAGAATTAGTGTTAGTGTTTTCTGTTCAAACCTCAGTATATCAATAAAAGTATTTCAGCCTGAACAGTGAATAAAAGTGAACTGTGCACATTATATTTACACTTCTCTGAAGCAATACTTATTTGACAGTATTATATTAACTTTAACAAATGGTTTTGTTTCAGTGTTTTACCAGAGGATTTGAATATAAGAAGCATCAGAGTGATCACAAATATGAAATCATGGTAAGTATGTTTTTTTTTAGCATTTCTCTGGTGTTGCAGAAAAACCTTTTAGACATTTGTGGTTGCGTTTGTCCTCCTTACAGACGTCAGACTTTCCTGTGCTGGAACCCGGCTGGACGGCGCAGGAGGAGATGGCACTGCTGGAGGCGGTGATGGACTGCGGCTTTGGGAACTGGTGAGTTTAGATTGTCGCACAAACATGAAAGTGTTTCTCTTCCCCACACTTTCTGTTCTTTGCTTAAGGTCTTTCTGACTCTGTTGAAACTGTTGATGTCAAGTTAAATAATTGTTCATCTGATGGGTCTGATCACGTCATAACGCAGGAAGTTGATGTTCTGAGGCTTTAAACCCAAACTAATTAAATTTGATCCGACAGGCAGGATGTGGCATACCAGATGCGCACTAAAACCAAAGAGGAGTGCGAGAACCACTACATGAAGAATTTCATCAACAACCCGCTCTTCTCTTCCACCCTGCTCGGTCTGCGGAAAACTAAAGACTCTCATTTTGCAGACGGAGCGATTCCTTTTAAACGTAAGAACTTATCTCAGCTCAGTTCAGTTCAGTTCAGTTAGTTTATTCATTTCTTTAAAAAACAAGGATACAATAAAAAAATTAAAATACAAATCATAAATTAAATGAAAGGTATCAGAAGAAGAAAAAATCTTATTATATATGCCCCTTTTTCTCAAATAAATAAATTCAAACAAAAATAATCTTTGGTATATATTTATGTATTTAATAATCTTTTGCCTCCTTTGGCTTTTCTCGATAAAGGAGACATATACATACGTGTATATATATA